TTAAGGACAGGAAAATGCAAGTGACTAGGGCTCCCGATTGGTTCCAGTTTTGCTCGTGATTTCATAAAAGCGTGCTTATGGTTTTCCTCAACCAATTGCAGGGTGATGAGAACTAAAACCTGCAATACAATCCAAACCTACCTTATCAAATTCAGAAACTGCTACGCACTTTCTCTCTGTCTAATAGTGACCTTAAAGATTTTTCCGTTACTAGAGAACGTCTTTGCCAGTTCCTTTGGTGCAAATATTCAGCGGAAAGTTTGAAAAAAATAATAAAAAACTTGAAATGACCCAGAATCTCAAGGTTGGTTACGGCCGGATAACTAACTTAAAAGTGAATTGAACTGCTAAAGCTATCTAGGGGATAAATGTTACTTAAGCTTATGCTGCGGTCTCCAGTCAAATTTCTCCCTGAAATGCTTTGTTCGGTCACCGATATGCTGCGCATGCTTAGAATTGGTGAGGCGCTGACTAGGCCTCGAAGATCTTCAACCGTCAGGGGCTCGTGTTGAGAACTGAAGATTTCTTTCATTCGTCTGTCGGACTTCTCATACGCTTCTTTAGCCACGAACAACTCTTTCTCCAGTTTCTCTACCTCTTTCTGCCAGGACAATATTTGCGAGCGAAGTTCACTCAAGTTTGCGTCTTTCTTCTCCATAATCTTATGATGATAGTCATTTTCTGCTTTCAACTTTCTTGTCTCCTTTTCTAGTTCGTAGATACACTCCTGGAATCTTTCTGACTGCAAACTCCTATCCAATTCTTCCGACCGATTATTATTTATCTCAGGTGTCATGGAAACCTGGTGATCCAGTCGACGCTTCTCTGTGGTGAGGGTGTGGTTAGCTTGTTCGAGATTGAATACCTTCCTCTTGGAGTCTTCAAGGTTAGCATGGAGCTGCACTTTTTCCGAGTGAAGCGAATCGAGTTTTTCTTTATAAGATGAAAGCAGCAGATTTAAGGAAGCTACCTCGCCAGAGAGTCTACCTTTCTCGTCCTTAAGCTTTTGTATACCAATATTCTGATCAGTGACACCGGTAGAGCCAACGTATCGAATAACCTGCTTCTCAGTTTGTGACGATTCTTGTAACTGATCAAACCGCTTTTGTAACTCAGTAAGCTGGAAATAAAGATCGTCTTTCTCTCGTTTTATTCCATGGTAACTTGTTTCCCAGCGAGACATTTGAAGCTGGAGGTCGTGGAACTCAGTTGCAAGTTTTTGTTTTTCTTTGTACGCTTGATGGTAGCTATCCATGTATTGTGATAATTCTTTCTTGAGTAAGTCGTTTTCATTTTGAAGACTGCAAGTAAGCACCCTTTCTTTAGAGAGTGCATCAGAGTTTCTTCCATCGTTTCTGTTACTGACAAGTTCAGCAGTTAAAGTTTCATTTCTCTTTTTGGCCTCATCTATCAATCTCTTCAGTTCATTCTCTTTCCGAAGCTGTACTTGAAGCTCATTGTCTAAAGATTCCAATTTTAAGGTGTCTACAGAGGTTGCTTGTACAGATAGCCTCCTTTGGGCCTCCAGAAACTTCTTGTGCTCTGAGTCGCATCTCTCCTGACTCAAACGATAAGCTGATTCCATTTGAAGTACTTTATGTTCAGCCGAGATGACCTTTTCATCACTTGTTTTTATTTTCTTCTCGTATGCGTCTCGCTCATTTTGTAACCGTGCGATTGTATTTTTGGCAGCAATAAGATCATGTTCAAGTGCATTCAATTTTAGTTCTATATCATTTGTATTTGTTTCATGCTTAGCATCCTTTAATACCCGTCCTTCGAGATCGTCAATCCTTTTCGCCCTCCAAATCACTTCACACTCTAGCCTCTCTTTCTCTTGACTTACTGCAGCTAACTTAGCTTCGAGATCTAGTACTTTCCTTTCCAATAGAGAAATTTCACGTGTACTTTCTTCAATTCTCCAAACCAAATGGGTTGTGTTTTCTCCTATGGGTCCATCCTTCATTGTCCCACTTGAAAAAGAAATGTGCGAACTGTTCTTGGTTTCATCTTGTTCGACAATGCTAAGCTTAGCTTTTGACACCGACAACTCCTCTTGTAATTGTTGTGTTTGTCTCTGAAGTGATTCATAACGGGACTTGATTTCAAAGTTAGTCCTCTTTAACATAAGCAATTCTTTTCTGCAGTCTTGAAGTTCTTCTTCTTTAGTAGAGCTCTGCGCTTCCAAGTACGACATCTTCTCACGCAACGATATAATTTCTTCTTGAAGGCGTTCTGTCTTATGCCTTGACTCGTTGTAATCGTGCCTTTGCTTTGTTTCAAGAGCCTGAACGTCAGATATTTCGAAACGGAGCTTGCTGTTTTCTTGAATAAGCCGCTTCACGTTTTCTTCTGAACTTAAAATGCAATTATCTTTCTCATCGAGCTTGAGTCTCAGTTTTGCTAACTCTTGATTCATAGTGTGATAATCATTACTTCCACTGGCGATCCTTAGCTTGAACGATCGTAATTCCTCTTCCAGGAGCCTTACTTTCGTGCCTTGCTGTCTATAAAAGCTATCTTTATTCGCCAGCTCCTTTTTGTAATTTTCAACCAAACCTCTGAGGCTGGAAAGCTCCCTCTGCGTTTCATAGAATTCCTCTTTGTTATAAGCAACCTTTTTGTTGGCCTCATCCAGCTGAGTCTTGATCGTCAATTGCTCGAGAAGTGCCTTCTGGAATCCTTCATCAGACGTTGTCATTTTTCTTTGGTAACCAGTGACGCTAGTTTGAAGTTCTAGAATCTCCTGTTGTGATGCATCCAGTTTTCCTTGCAGCTCTGTGACAACTCTCTTTAGGTTAAACACTTCTTTGCAAGATTCATCTTTTTCCCTAATTGCTGATGTCAATAAACCCTGTGTGCTATTTAATTCCTGCTGGAGCACGAAAACATCCTTTTGAAGCTTTTGGTTGTCATTTGCCGAGCTGTATCCATTTTCTTCCCTTGTCACGCCTCTGTGTTCAAGAAGCAATCGGGCCTCTTGCAAACCGCGCTGAGCTGTTAACAGCTCATTGTCTCTGTTTTTGAGCTTTTCTATGTACTCTTGAACTCTAAGCTCTAACTGCCTACGCATATTATCAGCTGAATTCACCTCCATTTCCAATTTTAAGACTTTGTTTTTAGCCTCTTGCATTTCGCCATGAACAGTTTCCAACTGGACAACAGAATGACGATGATCATCCTTTAACGGAGTGAATTCTTTTTGCAGTGCGATGAGGTCTTGTTCTATCTCGTTTTTTCTCGCTACGACCACGCTGTATTTCGATTCCCATTTTGAAACTTTGTCACGAGCTGCGAACAAACTTTCTTGCAGTTCCCCTTCTTTTGCAACATATTCTCGGCTGCTGGCTTCCAAATCGACAATTTTCCTTTTTTGCATCTTGATCTCTCTTTCAAGATTTGAAACTTTTTCTTGTAAAACAGAACTTGCACTTTCATCAGCCTCACGTCGTGATAAAGACTTATTCCGGGCCTCAAGACTTCTGCATTGTTCAGCCAGCTCACCATTCTCCGTTTCGACCCTGTATAGTTTCTTCCTCAGAGCATCAGTCTCGATTTCCAGTTTAGCATACCTTCCGTGAAGCTCTCTTGTATCTGCATCTTTCTTGATGGCCTCGGTCTTAAGTCGATCTATGTTGGCCTCTATATCCGCAATGTGCTCCTCTGCTGTCACTTTACTTTCTTGATGTATCAATGAATTGTTCTTCCATTCTTCCACCTTTCCACAAAGTGATTCAGTCTCTGTGTTTTGTTCCATTACTTGATGTTCCAGTGACGCTATCTTCGACAAAGCAGACTGATGCTCGAGTTTTACTCGATCTCTTTCATGGGCTTGCTTTTGGATTCGTGTTTCGTATTCTTTGTTGGACGCTTCAAGGGTCAAAATTTCCTGTTGTAAGCGGTCCCTCTCAACCTTCATTCTTTCGCATTCTTCTCGAGATGCAGCTAAAGTTTGTTTTAAACTCTGGATGCTTTCCTCTAAGTAGAGTTTGCTAGCTTTCAGTTGGTCGATCATGAGAACCTTCTCGTCCATCTCTTTCTTTATGGTGTCTGCTCCGATTCTTTGCTCTATAAGTTGTTTATCGTTTTCTAAAAACTCTTCTCGGCTCGCTGATACTCTTTGAAGTGCATTTTCAAGTTGGCGTTTGACTGAGTCCTTCTCACGGATCTCATATTCATATTTCACTTCCAGATCGGACAATTTCCCATGCTGCCCAATCAGCTCTTCTTTCAAAGCCCTCTTCTCTTGCTCGAATTTCTCGATTTTCAGCTCATACTCTTGTGTTCTTCTCTGAAGGAGGCTGATCTCGCGGTTGTGTTCCATACTTTCCTGTTGAGTATTTCTATTCTCAGCCTCGAGTCTTTTAATCTTTATCTTGTAGTCATCAATTTTCTTTCGCAGTGAACTTTCTCTATCTTGACTTTGCCGATATAACGCTTCAGTTTCCCATAACTTCTCATCAGAAGACTTCTCAAGTTCTCCATTTTCACTCAAGAAACTGCTTGACTCCAGTTTAGAGATGCTAGTGTTAGCCTCATCTAAGCTATCCTCAAGACTTTTCACTCTGGACTTACTTCTTTCATAATTAGCTTTCATGATATCCAAGTCCTGTTGCGATGCTGATACGGCCGTTTCCATAATAATTTTGTCATTCATAGCCTTTTCTAAAGCAGTCTCTTTTTCCTTTAACTCTAAGAGTAAAGTTTCACACGATCTCTCCTTATCTTGGATCTGGCTGTGACAAACCTTTATATCCGTCTTTAGCCTTGCAAGTCCGCTTTGGGACTCCTCCCATCGGGTTTTGTAGTCATTTTTATCAAGTTCAAGGTTCGATATCCGGGCTTCTAGACTCGAAGTCCTTAATTTAGAACTACTTATTTCTTGCTCTAACCTCATGACTGAGTCTCTAAGCGCAAACACTTCTGTCTCACGTTGTTGAAGTTTCTCTCGCAAAGATGTTAACCTGCCTTCGTACTCGCTTTTCTCTGCTCTCAGCCCCTCATTTGTCACTTTTATGGTAATAAGTTCGATTTTTTGCCTTCTCTAATTCTGCTTCTGTAGATCTGATTTTCACTTGAAGTTCGTCCGCGAGCTGCTCTTTCCTGACAATCTCTTTGTTAACGGTTTCTTTAATCTTCTTTTCCTCGATAACCTGGCTCTCCAGTCGCATAATTTGATCTTTATCACAAACAAGCTTAGCGCTGTTTGCATCAAGTTGTTCCTTGAGCTGTGCTCTCTGATCTTGAATGGTCTCGATTTGTGATTCATATTTTGCGATCCTCGTTCTCATAAGATGAAGTTCTTCTTCTGATCTCTCTTTAATTTGTCGACACATCAAAACTTCTTGTTCAAGCTCAGAGTTCCGTTTCTCCAAAAGGCTTAGTTTTTGCTCTCGTTCTTCTTTATTTGCCACCGTCTCTTCCAGCTCTTGCTTCAAAACAGACATCTTGTTTTCTGCTTCTTCTAATTCGTCGAGGACGCCTTGAATGTCGTTCTTCGTAAGCTCAGACAGAGACTCCAGTGAGCTGACTTTGCTTTTATATGTTGCTAATTGTTTGGCAAGCTCACTTGCCCTCGATCGCTCGTGATCCAGTTCTCTAGCCTTGTCAGCGGCTGCAGACCTCTTCAAAGACAATTCCATGTTCGCAATCTGGTTCTGTGCTGTATTGAGTTCTGCCTCTAACTGCTCTTTACGTTTTAACGTTGCTTCATAAAGGGCCTGTGCTCTTGAGTACTCCTCCTGTTTACTCAAAAGGTCATCGTGTAACATTTTCTTCTCCTTTTCACTCATTTCCCGCATGTTCTTCACATTTTTCAGCTCTTTATGGCAAGCGTCGGAGTCGACGTTAAGCACATTTAATTCCTCTTGAAGCTGTTTGGACAGTGCGTCTTTTTCTGCTATATCCTTGCGGAGGTCACTGTTGACAGACTGCTGCTCGAGCAGCTGACTCTTAAGTAAATTTATCTCTTGAGTAACAGCATTATGTGTGGCAGTGCATTCCTGGATTCGTATTTCGCTCGCAGAGCGCTGCTTGACAGATTCGTCGATCTCAGCCTCCAGCCTACTAACCTTCTGCTGTAAAGCCATGGTTTGGTGTTGGAAATCGAACTTTTCATGCTCACATGTGTTGAAAGAGGCTTGTAGCTCGGATAATCTTTTGTAAAACCACTGAACCTCAAGGTTTAATTTTTCGTTCTCTTCGGACGTCTGTCGGTTTTCGGCAGCCGCATCTCGGACTCTTTTCTGCGCGTCTAAAGTCTCCTCTCGCAGTTCTCTTTTCTCTTCCTCCGTAATCTCAATCTGTGCTTGGAGTTTGGTAACCTCACTGAGTAGAGATTCTGTCTTCAGCTCGTGCGCCATCACGGAGGCTCTCAAATTCTCGATAGTTTTATCTTTGTTGCCGGACTCCTTTAGCTTTAGATCTGCGTTTCTCTGAAACTCATCATAACGACTTTTTATTCTTGCAAGCTCTGCTTTTAATTTTGTGACCTTGGACCTCTCTTCCTCCAGCTCGGCTTTTAGGTTTGCCTTCTGTTTAGACTGACTTTCTCTTTGCCCTTCACACTTAAACATCTGACTTTTCATTGCTGCCATCTTCTCTTCTAACTCGTTGCAAACATCTTCAGTTTTCTGTAATAGAGACCTTGTCTCAGTAATTCGTCGTTCAGATAAAGTGAGCTCTTCCCGTAGTCCATCTTTCTCGCTAACTACTGCTTCGTAGCTGGACTCCAGCTGGCTAATTTTAATTGAAGATTCTTCAAGTTTAATACTAAGCCTTTCGTTATCATCTTGGGCCTGAGCATAACTAGGTCCCAACTGTGATACTTTTCTTCCTTGAGCAAATATTTCTGATTCTAGTTCCGAAACAGTATCGCGCAGTTTCGAATTCTCCATTTCAAGTTCTTTCATTCTCTCAAGAATCTTCCTATTAGTCTCTTCCGTAGTTGTAAGCTTACTTGACACAGCAAATAGCTGTCTCTGGAGATCATCTTTTTCAGTTTTTACTGATTGTAAACCAGTATCCAACTCGGTAACTTTTGACTGCGACAAGTTCAACTCTGTTTCAACACCTTTTTTTTGCGTGGCATGCAATTCCAAAGACATTCTCTGTTTCTTCATCTCCTCCTTTAAATCTTCCATCCTAGACACGAGATCTTTGTTGGCGACTTCAAGTTTTTCTACTTGGCGTTGTTTAGCTAAAAATTGTTCCTTAGCGTTGTCAGCTTGTTGTTGTATCTCGAGGAGTTTCTTCTGCAGTAGAGAGTGTGTATCTTTGTTTTGGCGTAGTTCATCGCGCGAATCACTTAGCTGTGCCTTGAAATTTTCTCTCTGTTTGGTTGCGCTTTGTAACTGCATCTCCAGTTTTGATACCTGAGTTAGGAATAAAAGGTTACGTCACTGCGAAAGCATACAGTTTGCCCAGAATCATTGGACTGGAACTGCAAAAATGAACCGTACTATTTGAGGAGTTTCATAGTGCACTTTGCTAATTTTTTGGAAAATTATTCAAGTGATTCCACTGAAATATTCCGTAAGCATATATTTTGATCATTTTCTTAAAAACAATTTCATAAAATATCCTCAAATTGACATCCGAAATTACATCTGAGGTTCCTCGTAGTTCCTACTCTGCTAAGACAGGACATTCGTTTTTCTCTACGATTAATGTTGCAATTGGAATTAACGCGTCGTGGCAGAACGCAAGACAAAATACATTTTACTCGCCTTAATTTTGTAATTTTTACTGCAACTCATCAGTTCCCTCTGTGACCTCTCGTATTCTGCCTGAATATTGGCGAGTTTGTCTTGTATCTCCACTAAATCATTCTGAAAGTTTTCCTTCTCTTGCAGTAAACAGTTGTAACTCTCCTCCCAGTGGGCAGCTTCTTGTTTCGCAGCAAGGAGTTGCTCATTATCCTCCAGTGTAGCTCTTTGAATAACTGCCGTTGACATGGACGCCATCTCTTGCTGCAGACTCGCAAACTCTTTCTCCAACTCCTCCTTTTCCTTTTGTAAGACATTAGCGGTGTTCTTACACGAGGTCACCTCGTGCGCGAGATTCTCCTTCTCCCAGTCTCTCTCCGCAAGAGTGTGCTTAATCGTTACCAGTTCTTCTTGATATTTTTTGCATTCTGCTCGTGTCTGATTAAGTTGTTCATCTGAGGCACCCTTTGCCCTCTGAAGGTTTTCAAGACGGGTTTGAAGTTGGTTGATCTAATGGAGAGCATAGAATAAGTCGTTTTTGGCTTCGAAAGTATTTCTAGAAGTTTTTGAGTTAGCCTACAAAGCCAGCTGTCTCCTAAGGAAAATAAATGGTTTGCACCATATCCATTTTTGATAACACTGATTCTCCTTGCAATCCGATTGGCTCTCGACAATGTGATTTATTTACGGATTGCATGTGATTTTTTTTTGCACTGAATCACTCTTTTTCTATTTTCAATTTTTCCAAATTGACTACTGGATCAGTTAGATACTGATTACAATACTAAATTTAGAGCTAGAAATGTGAACGAGTCAAGACCCATGCAAGATAGATCACTATAAAATGAAAATAATAAGAGATGTGATTTAAACAAAGACTTACAGAAAATGCATTTGCTTAAAATTCATTGACCGAATCGTGAGTGGGCAACCCCTACTAAGTGGATCCCGATCATAAAATCCATTCACTTTGTATGAGTGTCTAACTCTGTATGAAACATATCCATTTAAACAAAATTGATTAAATTATTTGTGCAAAACAGACAAGGAAACATTAATCTATCTTTTCTGGGAATGTTCGGTAAGGAAAACCTTTTGGGGAAGGGTTCATTGTTTTTTCGTTTCATTTCATTTGATAACAGCCCCGCACGTTTTGGATATCTATGAATGTTTAGGTTTTAGAGGAAAGAAAAGATGATATTTTAGTAAGCCATTGTTTGCTCCTCACAAGGTATTATATTTATTGCTGTAAATTTAAGAACATATCTCCATCTATCAGAGAATATGCGCAACAGCTGAAATATAATTTAGAAATTGAAAAACAAATATCTATCGTGACTGATTTACAGAAGAAATTTCAACAGAAGTGGGACAAAATACTTCATGCACAATAATTGCTATATAGTTCGCGGGCGGGCTCCAAATGTGACCCTGCTCACAGGCTATATTTTACTCTCCATACACTGATCTTAAGCCTCTGAAAATCAATTTTTTGCTAAACGCCGTACTTTTGTTTTTTTTTTCAAGCTCTTACTCTTATCTATCTCACCCACAATTTAGCCTTTTTGTCTTTCGTAACTGTTAATTTTTTGTGAATAAGGTTCTTTTTTTGTGTGTAAATAATGTGCCTCTTAATATGTGTGCATTATCACATTGTACGTAGTGTAAGAAGAACAATGTAAGTAGCATAAATATTAATTGTATCTTAAGAATACTGTAAGTAAGTAGTGTAACGCAATGTACGTAGTGTAACGCAATGTACGTAGTGTAACACAATGTACGTAGAAAGGCCCCTAAATGGAACCTTAATGTAGTTAATGTAAGTATCATGTTGTAAAATTAAAAAAAAATTAATTAAATGAAGATACGCATTGTATGCCTATTTTTATACGCATTGCAGGCCTATTAACTTTCCCGCCAACTCATCTTCTCTTTAGAGTAAAGTTTAAAAGCCTTTTGATCGCTATTTTGAATTGAATTTTTGACATTGTCTTAGAGGACCCTAGGATATTGAGTATTAAGATATTAGATATGGATGTTTCGACGTTAGTGAAGCATCACAGTCGGCACGTGCGTCGCATTCTAGACAGAAAATCCTGAAAATTGGAAGCAGTGGTTTAGTGAATTGTTTATGAATCGATTTTGTTTAACAAAACCTAACCTAATCTAGCCTTGTTAATGTAACCACAGGAAGTTTTAAAACTTTTCAAATTCGTAGAATAAATTGTTTGTTTACTCTATCAATGGTTTGAGTTTTCGACGCCTTTGCTCAATCTGCTTGGTAAGATTGAGGGACACTCTACAACTTGCAGTGATGTGGTGCTCCTCATTTTTTGCGCAGCATTTCGGCTGATATAATTCCGCATAGTGGTCTTGCGTTTATCTTTAATTCAGCGGTGTGCGTTGTTTGTGTTGTTAAGGCTACTGTCTACGACGTAATAAAATAATTTTATTCGTTGTGGTTTTTTTATTCAGTGAGACCCTCTTTCAATAATCATTGACCCTTGTCGTGCTTGTCTAAACTTTAATTCAAATTACTTTGAGGCTAAATGTCCATCATATGCTTAGGAGGAGTTGGGAAACAAGGGTTGCGAACTTGGTAAAAGAACTGAAAACGATATATCACTGCGTAAGCGTAGACTGACCAACACAACGGTAAATCGACTTTTTCCACATGGTGTGCAAGTATGTAATACATGGATGGCTTTGTAAAGAGAGTATTCAGTGTCTGTGTGTTAATCGGGCACGAGTATGGAAGTATTGCATTGTCGGTGTTTCGTGCGTCAAAATGCGGTGATGCAATGTTTTTAAATATTCTTGTTAATTTGTGGAATTCAAAACCTCCCAGTGTGTTCCCGGTGTCCTCTAAATGACGATGACGGATAAACAAAGTCCTTGAGTTATTTTCACTGTTGCCATGCGCTGGGGGTTGGCGGTAAGAATGGTTGTCGCTCAATATAGAGATGATAAAGTTGCTGTCCAGAGATACATTCTTAATTAACAAATTCTTAACAAATTATGTCGTTCCTGATTGGTCATTGAGGAATTTTTATAGAGTTCATAGAGTGCAATATCGAATTTCCGTATTGGACTCTCGTAATTTATACTTGTTGAGATGAGTGAAAAATGTTAATTTTTAAGAAAATTCGAGAGACATCTTGTTTTGGTTTGTTACGCACAAACCTTACAGGAAATGAGTTATCCAAAGAAAACATATTTTACAAACATTTTCAAGGCCGTTGAAGGTATCTCGGGGAGCGTGCACCTAAATCGTGTAAAGATGCTTTGGTAAGTAGATATTCTTTGGAGAATGTAATGAATTCAAATCGCATGAATTGCTCATGCAGTTCGTGATATATGGTAAAACGTAATGTTTTCAAAGGTTTTCAAATTGCTTTCGTCCAAGGATCATGTAACCACAGAAGCTTTCTAAGATTCACTCTGGCCTTTAAATTACGAAATGTAGTAGCGTTCATGCAATTTCCTACACTTACACACGAGCTGTCAATGAATTGCGATATAGTCTCTCCGCACAATTTAAAATCTCTTGTCTGTTTTGGTATAACTTAAGTCTGGAGTAAGTAATCTTCGACAATAAACACACCAATTTTGAATTAACAATAGAACGTGGCTAAAGTAAAGTTAAACCGATTTTAACTCTTTCGAAAACAAAAGAAGGTGAAGGTAGTTGACTTTAAGGCTTTCGAACTTGACTTGAGTTAATTCCTGCACTGCTCATTTTAGATCGTCTCGTCTTTGTGTACAAACTAAATACTATGCAAATTCATATTCGCTTGATGTCCATGGACAGGCTCAATTCCTTAATCGAGTGGATTCTTGCTCTCTGGGGACAAGGTTCTTAGAACATAAATACAAGTTAGACGGTATTGCATAATTATTCAAAAGTTTTGCCTTTACTTGTGATTTTAAGAAATTTCCTTTGAGATAAAATGTACAAAGAAACCTAGGGGTACTTTAGCTTGCTGACGGTTGAAGGCAAGACTAAGATATACCAGCACGAAACGTGAAAACAACCATATCAAAAAATTTTAAACTTTGTTATTGGCGACTGAATACGGGAAACAAAACAGCCATTACAAAGATTATACGCGCTCGAACTGAAATTGGGTACGTCCTACTGAAAAACACGGAAAAAATAAAACTTAAAGGTACAAATTTTATTTTTTGAAGAATTCTTATTAACTTTTGCCGTGGAGACAAGCACGACTTATGCGACAGACTAATAAGCATTCTTTGATATCTTATAATTATCAGTTAGTCAAGAAATAACTCAAAACCGCATGCTTTTCGTGATATAGAAAGACCAAGACATGAGTATATCAGACTGATAGCAGGGGAGGCCGGCGGTCAATTCTTTAAGGAAAGCGTAAATTTTGCCATACGTAAATCGAAGCCTTTGTTTTACCATTTTTTTCACGATTTGACATTGTCGGGACGAGATAAAATAATTTATTTAAAAAATAAAGCCATAATCCTAAAAGGTGAGCTGGAATTTTAGCTTTTGCAGAAAAGAAACCTGGATAAAAAAAAAATTCAAACTTCGATGGGATTCAGACCCATGCCCCCAGATTCTAGTTGGGCATAACCAACTGAGCTAGGATGCAGGGAAAATTCTAGGAGCTTCTTCTCAAACTTAAGTCGGTGATAAGTGACCTCTCGACTTTTTAGTGTTGGTTTTTCGGCATCCTTTGGCGGTATTTATATAGAAAGAATTTCAAGTCCTCTGGGCAGACGGTCTCAGTTTAGCCATTGAGACCATCTATCGAACTTAAAACTATATTGTAGCATAGTACTTAGCACTAGGTTGGAAAATTTTTCTTTCTTGAGTATCAAAGCCGCTTAATGACAACTTCTTGAAATTAAACCCGAAGTTTGGATTATAAATGTCTTCCAGGACATCTTTAGAACAAAATAGCAGTCAAAATCCATCTCCGCTGAAAACATAACATATTTTCCTGCGCAATTCTGTTCTGTGGTATTTTAAATTTTATATCACTGAACAAAGCAATCAAATTAATTACATACTTAAACTTCTCACCTGTGAAGCATGCTCAGTTTTCACTATTTCCAGCTCGTGCTTGAAGGTCCTATAAGCAGCCTCCAAGTCACCAAACGTTTCCTTAGCTGAGGCCAGATGGTGTAATGTCGCATCTGCTGCATCCACAGACCTCTCGATTGAGCTCGAGAAGCTTGTCTCTTCCAAAGATTCTACGCGTGACGAACGAGACATCTTTAAAAAAGTTGTAGTGTCTATGTGTGTCTCGTTCAGGTAGTGGCAAGCAACATAACGAACGGTTTTCTATTTACGTAACTCCACTGTTTGCTAAACAAGGTGGTTTCGTGCAGTCAAAATGTTTTAAAATCTCAGCTGATTAGTAGCGAAATATCTATATATTTTATTTTTTTGTTGTGGGACGCTAATTTGGCTTAACTGACAAAAACCAATATTTCAATAGTCTCTCATAGCAACAGTTGTTTGTCAGTGACTTCAAAACGGCACGGTCCCAAAAGACTCGACGCGGCTGTCATTGTTCATTCAAGATAGCTTGACGCTTTGCGCTTTTTTTTTGTGATGAAGAGATTGAGTAAAGGAGACCAATTCCATTTGGTGACGAATGTAAACAAAAGCACAAGCTCGTCAAACTACGCTGTGAAGAAAGTGGCTATTTGCTTTGTTTGGAGCGTGGGAAATGAAAACAACATCTGAGTTCCCCACGAGGAATCAAACACCAAACCTTTGAATAGATTACGCGGTCCGATGCTCTCACTGAATTTCAAAGACCTCGTTCGTGGGCCAGTCCATACATTATCTTCATGTGAAGTGCCTGTATTAGTGAGTCACTGGTATTTCCAAGATCGATTCATAGCTGAAGAAATAACTTGAACGGGCCTATAGCGGTTCATTTGCCTAAAGCCTACCTAGTTACAAAGTTACTTTTTCTCGTGAAATCCTGAGATTTTCAATTTGAAATAACAAGCTCTCCCTTTGTTTCCGAAAGTTACTGGTTTTAAAGCCTTTCCATTCTACTTTCCACTGTGATGAATGGGTTTCCTGTGCAAGTGAAAAGCGTCACAGTGTCACAGGCAGTAAATCTTTTATTTACTATACTGTATGACGCGCCGCGGCGTGTGGTAGAATTTGCGCATTGCAGATGCGGTGCTTATTCGGAGTTGCGCGTATTCAAAATCATCAAAATCCGACAAAAATCGGTTTGATGATTCGTTTGCTAAATACACCACTTTCGCCATGAACTACAAAAAATGTACTTTTGCTTTTTGTACTTTTGCTAAGGGAGAGACGAGAAGGACCAGACAGCATTAAAATTTGGTGGGGTTAGATTGTGTGAGCAAAGCCAAAATTGGAAAGATTTCTAAATAGTTAGAGGTATGATGCGACTCAGAGTGAACCACCGGAAGTAATTTTGAGGTAGAAATGGCGAATTCTACATCATAAAGTGTCGTAACCTACAATCCCGATTGCTCTCATCTTCTATCGTAGTTGAATAGTTGACTTGCCTCTGCTTCCTTTCCCCTCTCCCCCTCTCGACGCCTTACCCCTACCTATAAAGACCTAACTCGCTCCAGTTGTCTCTGTACCATGCGGCTGAGCAAGACGAAAGAGCGCGAGGTGCGATGGGTAGGTTCGCCCTGCTTTCCTCTTTGATCTCCCCGGCCACAAGACATAGGCGACGATTGGAGACAAAGCCTGTGGGCAAAATGCTTTAACACATACATAGGAACTGAAAGCAAATTTAGCTGTTGGCTACTTCATCTCTCACAAAGCAAAGAGAAAAGGCAAGTTTGCGGTGTTACATTTAATCATTTGTTCCATAAAAAAGGTTCCTATTTATCGACACATCTCCTAATAGAACTTCATGTTCACTGGACCTTAATGAAGATAATCTTTGGCTCTTTGTTAAAACCATAGTTATTTTCATAAAGATTTTAGTTGCATATCCAGTACATAACTCGTAACTGCGAATAAGGGCATCGGGGAATAGGGTTGGTCACATACGATGAAGAAGCCTCTTATCAATCGCCTGATTGTACAGAAACTATGGAAACTTGGGTCTAATAATTGAGCGAATTTCTCATTATGCGTACTCCCATGTCAGTGAATAACAATTGCATTTTATAAACCGTGTTTTGTGCTCACTGCAAAAGTTAAGAATTACCGTTTCACTCCCATAGAAATATTTTGTCTTCAAATATATTTCTTTTTTTCTCCGTAACTATGATAAAATTCAATTTAATGCAAATTCAATGACAGGACGCGCAAGCTTTAAATACCAGAACAAAGACATTAGCCATAGCTATTGTCTTTATTCAATTCTTTTTTTATTTTTCATAAGTAATAGACAACTCAAAATGAATTTGTACACGTGTTGTGCATGGGCCTATATTTCGAAAAAGGTTTGCCTGCATTTGCAGCAACGACGCAAAAATAAAAGGCCTTTGTGTTTCAGATCGCTTAATGCAACTGTATATCAAAGAAAGATAGATGGAAACGAAGCAATTGCAAAAAAATTAGCAAGAATATACAGTAGACAAAATGAAAGATTACGTAACGTAAGAGTGATAAAATGAAACACGTCCCTAGAGAACAAGATTGTGCATGTTAACTTCGGTTTAGGAGATTAAAATTCCAGTGCCTGGATGCTTGAATGGTATTTCGTCAACATTTCGGATGTTCTTTAAATGCACTTTGAAGGCGAATGAAGTAATCTCAGAAACTGATAACAAAATTCAGAAATTGGTTACTTGTCTATTTAGGAGTTGAAGAGTGAAGCGAAGGCCGAGTCTGCAAATCTACAGCGAGGGATGTCAACCGCAGTTATCCAAAAAGATACAGCGAAGGAGATTGAGCAGCTCTTTGCTGCGAAACAAGAAACCGCCTACTGGGAGGAAAGTTATAACGGTTTACTGCCGGAACACGAGGTCTTTCAGAACAATTTCATGGAGTTACAAGACAAATTAGTCGGAATGCAGGAAGAGTATGAAAACTCACAGAAGGAACTTTTGAGTTGCAGCAAAAATTATAGCATCAAGGTGAGTTACATCAGTCTGTAGTCTATATCCACCAAGTTCGATTATGTCAGGCAAGATGCTGCGTGCAGGATGGTATAGTATATTATGGGTTGGTGTGCACGACGTGAGGCGCACAGTACAATTCGCGGTAGCTTACATGAGGCAAAATGTATTGCGAGGCAAAGAGGCAGCTTTGTTGCTCTGGTCCTATCGTGAACAGAGCAGAGAGAACAAAATTTCCCTGATTTTGTTTCTTTTTTCACGCAACTTTCAAATGAAACCTGAGAAAAATTAAGGACTTCAATAGGATTTGAGCTTGTGATTCGGCATTTCCGTTTCTTTACCTAACCAAGTGGTCTGAAGCCTACGACACAAGTTTTCAAAAATACAATTGACCTGCCTCAGCGCTCAACGTCCTAGTTGGCTAAACCATCGATTCTCGAGGTCATGGATTTAAATCTTGTTAGAGTTCGAAATTTTCTCAGCCGACAGAAACATCACTTTAAGAAGCATTTGATCATTTCATCGAATTTCTACAGTCCATATGAATTAATTGATATCCATGATTACAGGTATGTAAATTGGAGATGCAGCTACAGAACGCAAGAAAGGAAAGAGAAAACCTTAAGACTCAACTTAGTGAATCACGCGCCGAACTTCGTGAAGGCAAAGAACTGAACTCTTTGCTACAGAAGGAAGTTCTTAAGATACAGCAACAGGCAGATAGCCATAAAGAAGAACTTGTGAACAAACAAACACAAGTGGAAAAGCTTGAAAATGCCAACAGAGACCTTGTGTCAAAAATTGCTGATCTGAATAGGCAGATTTCCCAACGAAGAATGGCCTTTGAATCGCGTGCAGAGAAAGGTACGGATGTTGAAACCGAGCTAAGTTGGTTTCAGTCAAAATTTAAAGAGTTACTTGCAGTTTTGGAATCTTTGAAAGCGGAAGATTATGGCCATCAAAGAGACTATTTGGTTGCTCCCGTTAAAGAGCTTACCACAAAAGAGACTGATAAGGAGACGCTAGACAGAATCACGGAGCTGGAATTGGAAAATTCAAAATTGCGTGGCACCATTGCTGAAATATTATCAGAAATGTCTGCGCAAGAAGGAGAAGGATTGAACATGGAACCCATCTATGCTCAAGATGATATAGAACAGCTCACACAGAGGCTAGAAGAATCTTCGATACAAATTAGTCAATTAGAAAGCAGTTTCGAAGCAGCAATTCGCGAGGGAGATGATTTACGAGAAGAACTTTCATCATCTGAACGAAGAATGTCTCAGGCAAAAGATCTACTACAGAATGTTGAGGATGCCAATTATGAACTCGAAGAGAAGATGGCAAACATGCAAAGAAAAATTATCAATTACCAGCGAGATGCTGAGAGCGCATTGAGGCTGAACACAGACCTTAAAGCTGAGCTTGAAGAGGAAAAGTCAAAGACCAAAAGGTTAAACACAGAGGTTACAAAGCTGAAACATGGTTTCGATGAACTTGAAAGAAATGCGGACTTAAAACAGGGAGAGATCCGTGATAAAGACGAAATCATTCAGAATTTGACGGCATCATTGGCAGCGAACAAGTTGAGGACTGATTCTCTGCTGGGTGAGTTGAACAAGATTCAAGCCCAAATAGAAATCTCAGTGGAGGAAAAAATAGAAATGCAAGACGAACTTTTCGAAGCACAGAAGAGAATTCAAGATGCGGATACGCATACTCGACTGATTACCGAAGAGAACGGGAGCCTAAGCCGTGAGGTACGGCGGTTTTATCAAAGATTATCTGAGCTTAAAGCTTCGTTCAAAACTTGTGAGCACGAAAAGTTCGATTTTCAGCAACAGGCCATGGCTTTGCAGGAGAGGGTTAGTAAACTGGAGGCTGAGATAGACACATCTATTAAGTTACCCTTCAACTTCAGCTTCATCTGGGGACCACCAACTCCGGAATATGTTGCGACTTACGATGCAGCGAATCAAGAGATTGATTTACAAAAAAAGTGAATGAGAAAAGTTATAAGTTTTTGAAAAACGCTCTTCTGTTGCGTTGACGAGTGAAATACTTGGCAAACTTTCAAGTGGGAGTTGTCAAGGTAGACGAGCCGACGTTAACATAAGCCATCCAAAGTTCTCGTCAGCGGTTATCTCCTTTATAAACTGAGTGCTTTACTTAAAATTCAACATCTGAGGCATCGATGCGTGATGTACGAATTGTGCAAATACATAGAAAATAGTGCGGCATTATTGACACGTGTTCAAGAAAAATTGTAAGCAAGCTCTTAACGTTAATGTGAAGAACTGAAGAAAGGGAAGGAGTTGCACAAATTTTTATCTTAAAGCGAGAAAAATATTTCACAACCTCTAAGTATAACTCAATATGGTGTGAAACCAGATGTTTACCCATGGAAATGAATTTAAGGAGATGTGCATACGTTGTCAAGGTTACTGAAACGAAACACAAATAATTAAGGACGACCACGTTGTCAGCTAAAACTTCGTGTAGGAAGAGAGTATCATTAAATGACTGCGTGGAGAAACTTCTTGAAACTGTATTGATAGTGTAAGGAGAAATTCCTTTTTGTTCATTCAAAGAAGTGAAATGGGTAACATCGTAAATAAACACTACAACTTTGGAGACCAATCATTATAAATTGCCGTTGGGGGGGGGGGCGGAATTTGAAGGATTTCTGGGGGTCTCATGGTTTTCAGGGGGACCGGAGAGGGGGGATTAGTTGTCTCCGACAGAGTATAATGGACAGAAGGGAGGACCATAGAAAACTGACCCGACCCCTCCCCCCGCAGGCGATTAATAAACATCGGACCCTGAGATCCACGGAAAACTGTGATTTACAACCCCTGTAGCCAAGGTTGAAATTATTTTTGTTTCTCTGTTATGTGTTTCTTCACAAAAATGTTTTAGTTCTCTCCTTCTTCCTCTTCAAGGCCGTTACACTTGTACGCCGTCAGTCTGTTTCGTTTTAAATAGGCATCCAGTACAATCATTGGATTTTGTGGTTGAACAAAGTGATACACATCCCCACTGGCTGTAAATAAATCAAGAAGGCGAAATTGTGATTTTCTCGATTTAAGCTTTAAGTAGAGTTCTTTAATAGCGCCATTTATTTCCACTTCAGCCATGTGAACAGTTTCTACTGCACTACCAGGGTTTTTCAGCAGTGACCGCAGCAGTGCGCATGCTCCATCTGAAGTGACCAGATTGTAACCAATTTTGACGACTTGTAGAGTATCATTAAGTTCCAGACCCCTTGCAATTTTCTCCATTCCGCGGTCGGTGATACGATTGTTATTGAGATTTAACTCAATAATTTTGCCATTGTATTCCAAAGATTCCGCGATGTGTCTCGCGCCTTCATGGCCAATCTCGTTCCAGGACAAATCCAGTTTCTCAAGCGTTCGATTTTTCTTCAAGCCCACGCAGATTTGTTTGACTCCGAGGTCGCCCAGGCGATTCCATCCCAAGTTCAACTCGCGAAGGGACACGTTTTTCGCGATCATTTCCCCAAAGTGCTCTCCTCCGGTGACTCCAAAAGAATTATGACTAAGGTCTAACGCAGATAAAAAGTCTTCAGTTTGTAAAACGTTACTAAAAAAATGAATATCATCATCACTTAGTCCATTGCGCGAAATGTCAATTCTCGCCAAAGAATCATTCACAGTCAGCATGTTTCCAAGAGCGTCTGTTCCATCTTTACTTATCTTATTCTCTGAAAGATTCAGATAAGTTATAAGACTGTTTGCCTCGAGTAATTTTGCAACAGCCGTAGCTCCTTTATTCTGAACGTTATTGAGTGACAAGTCTAGTCGCGTGACACTCCTATTGCGTGACAAGGCGTCCGCGACAGCAACAGCACCCGTGGGACCCAGCCCAAGATTTCTCATGATCAGCTCCGTTTCGCCGGCCGCGACTTTGTCGAGAAAGTAAGTCATTGCTAAGGGAGGAATTCCAAGTTGTTCGCAACTTTTAAGGAATGATTCCTTGAGAGATAAATCGTGTACTTGACAAGCGTCTTGTACATCTTGGTGTCTGTCCTTCCTGTCGAGGCGATGGATCTTCTTGGCAGTCTTCAATGTGGCGTTTTCCGCTATCACCGAGTCGACTTTCGCGTCTTCATCGTAGGAATCCAAAATTCGGTTAAGGTGGATCAGCAAGTTAGTCTCTGACACTGCCCGGCTCTGTGGAAAAACATAAACCTCTTCAGCCCATCGTTTTGACTTCTTTCCAATTTTTATGCGCGGAAAAATGCTAAAAAACGGACGTTTATTCTTCGCTCTTGACGACCGCATGTCTATCATTTCCAAATTTCGGTCACGGAAAAATTTCCCTATGAGGACAGTCTTATGAGTATCCAACATCGAACCATAATATCCTGTCGAAGGAATTCTTTAGAATTCACTCTGGCGTTTTTAAAACGCTCTCGTTCTGGCAGAGTCTAGCATTACTGTCTAAATTGTATCTCGAGTATTGTGACGGAAACGTGAGCCAAACAAAGCCTCTCCATACCGTTTCACAATCGCGTCGAAATTCGAGAAGCAGGAATGTGAGAGAAGGGCAAAAGGCCGAGAAGTTCAAACGTGCGCTTGTCATGAGCCGGATTAAAGGGAGATAAAGGGAAAATTAGTCAAATAGAAACTACTGACAGACGCTTACCGAAACTGCAGATGTTTTTCTTTTTCTTGCCATGAATAGTATTATATCTTCATGTTTAAATAAACTGGTTTTTCGAGCAAATATCTGAACATGAACTGTGGTTTCTTATTGGAGAAACAGATGAATGTAAATTTTTACCTCTGTTGTGTTATTTCTAAAAGTTATTTCGAAGTAGTATCAGTTTTTTTGAAAGCAAACCGCCGCTAAGTGCCCCAGCAACGACCCTAGAAAAATATTGTTAATCAGAAAATTGGTCCAATGCTACAAAGAAATTAATTTAGATGTACCCTAAATAAACACAGATATGTAATTAAAGTATAACTCGTTGTACTGTGGGCAGATTAAGAGCTGCAATTTCATCCTTTCAGGAAATACGTGAAAGAACACATGTTTACAAATTAAAGATTCCACATAATTTTACGGGCGTACTGTCGACCATGCCATGTTTTCGGTGAAAACTATTTTTTCGCGAAAGGAAAGCTAAAACTTAAAATCGCCAACCCTAAGTTTAATTCGGCTTGAGGTAAAGGGAATGTTTCAAAATTGGACCCTCACGCGAAACTTTCTCGGACACAAACATTCACATTTTCAAATACGTAATTTGACAAATCATGAAGCTAAACAAATGTCATCAGCGTAAGACAAAGAAACAAAGTCTCAGTGACGTGAATAGGGCTCAAATTCAGCTAGTTCTCATTTCTCAGACGGCTGTTCCGCTAACTTAGTGGCTGAGTGAGACAAACAATATTCGTCAGCGAGTGAAGCCGTCATAAGGTTCATGTTACATACTGCAGAGATCAGCAATACCAAAAGCTTCCTTTGCAGAGCGAGACGATTACTTCTCTGTTAAGTTATAGGTTAAAAAGATTTTTCGTTTCAAGTTCAAGCATTTACACAACCTTTGTTATCTTACCCTTGCTGAGCTAGTTCTGAAATTCCGTGGTGTAAAAATTTCAGTGATGATGCCGGACATGGCATAATGAAAGCCAAACGTCTCGCGCTAAAATTCTTCTGGCCTTTTAACCTCAAGCTTTTGTCACCGTCAAGAGATTGTTGATGACCGTAATCAATACCTACTTGTTTTCGCTAAAAATTAAAAAAAAAGGACGCAACAACTTCGGCCTAGATGTCAGCACTTCAGAAAGAAAAAAAAACGTGACTAAGGTAGTCTGTTGGTCAGATGTGGAACAAGGTTTTAAGGTATAATCTTGTACTGCGTTTTAATACTCTTCCCAAATTTTCAAAATTGTCGTGAAATGACTAGTAGCTGTCAAATTTCTATCGTGGAGGCACATTTGGATGCTTCCAGCAAATCGACTCTGTTCACGTTCCTTCGACTTGTGGTAACAATAACAAACCACAAGTACGTTCCTACTGTTGCGATAAGGATTGTGTGCCATTTTGGTTTAGTTCTGTTTCAGTTTCTCCATCTTGTAAAATTGAAATTAGCTTAAAATTCTCATATTCATCATTTTGGATCCGCTTTAAGTTCACCAATTTTTATTGTCTTCGGTCACGAGCGTTTAACTGTATTGTATTTCTTTAGGGTCTCTTGACCATGGTTAACCAGTTTTTAAAAGGTCTTATTCTAATTCAATTAGCTGAGTTAATTCAGTTAGCTAAAAAGATTCAAATTAACGCCTCGTTTTCCGTCATAATCACAAGGGTAGAAGACTAGTATCCAGTGCCTATCTCTGCTCATCAAAAGGGGAGAGCAAAATGAAACAGAGGCTGGGAACAATTTTTGACTACTAACATGCGCTCGTATTATGGCAAGTCGGCTTTTTAGGAATATAACTGCCGTCGGAAAAAGATAAAAATAATAATACTGATATTGAGTAAATAAGAAAAAAAGGAGGTTGTTCTTGCCGTCGGATGAGAGTACATCATCATCGAGATAAATATGACAAACATTTTCACCAAAGGGATGAGGCGGAGAAAAACTTTATGAAGTAGAATTTAAATGGAAATTTTGCAGGGCCGAGTTAAAATAATTCGATTACCTGAAAGATGTCCTGCTTACCTTTTTGTGATTTTTCCGTCGTGAAGTCTAAAAAGGAACACCAAATCCTGTTACACTTCTAGTCTTCAACCTACTCTTTGTAAAAAACTCTCGTCGTGTTAGCTAGCGAGCCAAAAATTTTCGAAATTTTCTTCCTTTAATTTTATTCAAATCTTGTGGAAAATTACTTAGCTGTTAAAATGTTGGCGCATTCTCTGGTGAAAAGGAGCTTGGATAATATATTGTCAGTTTGCAATTTTAATTATAAACTCTAATCTTGAAAAATAAGTGAAAATTCATACGCATAATATATTTAGTTTCAAAACAAGGCCATGTTATCCTAAGTACCAAAATCAAACTAACAAAATCTAAATTAAGTAGGAACAGAAAACAGCCATAAAAGTTCGTTTTCTTTTCTAAACAGATGTTACGCAAGAACACCTAGTTAAATGAAAAGTCGCATTATTCAAAAACTGCCGGAAAAAAATCTCAAATAGATGGACGTCAAAAAAATTGTAATAAAGGTTTCCTCGTTACCTTCATCAGCTTTATCCACAGCTTTTTTGTCTCCGCCATGTTGTTGGTTACTGAAATATCATCCTTAAATCTATCAAGCTTCTTGATATCGTTGCAATGAAGAGATTGAGTTGATTTCCAATAAAGTAACATCGATTTACAATGAAACGTTGAATTATTTTCACTGTTTTTAATCAAAACCTGATGAGCTATCCTTTTTTCGGGTAAACATGTTAAGTCTCCGCGGAAAGACTAAATAAAAAACTCTTCGTTTGCCGTCAATTGTCAAATGACACCTTCAAATCAAAGGAAAGTATAAAAGGAACACTTTGCAGCGGCTTGCTTTTTACACGAATATTGTTTTCTTAAAGCCGGAGCAAACAATCCGAGCTTAGAGTGCTGATCGCTGTCCAATTACCGATGAGTGTTGAACAAATATTGTAACCTGGCATATAAAAGCCTGCAAAAATTTTAGGCTTAACAAAAGAAAAATATTTCTTTGAGAATATTTTAAAATTCTAAAGTAAATCTGAATGAAATTTGTCAAGGAAATTGTCGCATTTGTGCAAACAGAATACGACAAGAACTGTCAAAGTTTTGTCGGAAGATCTCCATCTGGAATTGCCTAAGAGCGAAAAATATCATTTTACATTACAGTTTTATTGTATCTTTATGGAAACAGACCAGAAAAAAAATCGATTGTAGTTTATTTTAGTGAATAACCTCAATTTGAGTGGCTGTAGAAGAGAAAGGATGTATTTTTGCAATTGGAATCATTCCAGATGAGTAAATGGCAGAGAGAAATCAGTTCGAACTTGTGTATAAGTTGTAATACAGTTAATTTCCAGGGCCCAGTTGTATAAAGATTGGATAAAGCTATCCAACGGATAAATCGCTATCCGGCGGGTAAGTGATTGCAAAACGTGTAGCGTTGTCCACCGTATAACGATTTATCCAGTGGATAGCGTTATTCAACCTTCGAACAACCGGGGCCAGCGGTACAAACCCCTACCAGGAAGAAAGATCAAAACAGGTTTGAATAATAAAGAATGAACTTACATTGAGAGAGTACAACAGGAAAAAAGAGTCCATTTCGCGTTAGTAGGAAACCAAGAGGTTATTATAATTTGTCGTCAGTCGAATTCAGAATCGGAAGTCAACTGAAGCTCTTTCATCATGAATTAATAAGGAAAAGCTACATGTCACCTATATTTTTTAACGCGATATTTCATATAGATAGTTAGTTATCAGTGAAAATCAATTGATGTACTATTGTTGATGTGCAATATTAACATCTCGAACTCACAGGGTTTATCTCAAAGCCCTAAGCTTTTTATAGCCAGGTTTTCATTCGGCTACAGAAAGGCGGCTCGGAAATATTGCCTCCTTTTCCACCAATCAAATCTCATCGAACTGTCGTAAATTATTCATGATTGGCAGGTGCCTGGCGTACGGGCCGGAAAATCCTGTATATCACAACATTGCTTATTAACTCTAGCGCTGTCAAAATTTTCAGTGTTTGACGCTTTTTCCATTTCTGAGAGACCTTGATTAAATTTCCAAGCTTTAAAAGTTGTTGCAATTTGATACTGAGACTTAAAAAATCAATTAAATCATTACTTTTTTTTCAGGTTGGAGTAAACAGACTTTTCGATACTACATACGCAGGCCTTATTTCGTTTTAGAGAGGTCCAATGTTTTTGTTCACGATTATCTCCACAGTCACGGTGAAATATTTTTTATTTTAAGGTCCTAAGACATATTATTAACGTTTCTGATCTTTCATACAGTGATATCCTAGACTGCAGCATAATGTTAAGTAGACATATTTCGCAATGAACCCGAACAGAGGAAAACTCGGTACGAATTACTCAATGAAGACTAAATGACACTAGACGTACATTTCTTTCATTGTTCGTGAATATTTGATCAACTGATTATGTTTAAAGAAGGTTTTTCTAACTTAGTTCTGCTTTGCTTCGCAGCCAATATATGTTCCTTGAAACGTTAACAAATCTAAAATCAGTTATTTTTACATGAGATGCAAGTTTACACTGATAAACACATTATAAAACAAATCTTATTATTTGGGAAATTTTGCGTTAAAGTTGCCATGTACAAGCTGCCCTCCTTTAGCGATTTTAGCCTTCAATGCGATCCAACACAGGATTTTCTTCTTCGAGACATGCTTTGTAAAACGTACATTTTTGGAAAATTGTAGGACATAATTTGTTTCCAAGGACACCATACAATAACATTGATGTTTTCATGGCCTGACTAATACGGAATTGGTTTAATTTAAACAAATAATCATAGGATATTTCTTTGAATCAATTAAAAAATGTAATACTCACTTTTTCCTGCTCCTTCATTTTCCCAGTGAGTAAGAATGGAGTCTACACTAAGGTAAAACTAATCGCCGCTACTGTAAACACAGGCAGCTGACAGCGAGTCTTAATCGATCTCTGTAAGCGGTGTTATTTGCATAGCATTTATAGGAAATAAATTATTTATTCTAAGAAAGGTGATAAAAAACTATTTAACAGAAAAGAGAATTTATAACGGATCGCCTTAAACTTTTTATCCTGAAACCATTTTCCCCAACCTTTACTCCCTCCTCCCCCAAAACAAGAGGAAAAATAAAAGTTCATTAAAAAAGTATTTGTGTTCGCATGGAAAAGGGGATAATCGTTACCTGGGGGGGGGAAAGTTGTAGCGATTTTGAGGGGAGGGGAGGTTGGAACGATGTTGGTTGTGACACTAAAACATTTACCCCATAAGTCTCTGTAATATTTTTTTTTTTATATGTACCCCCTTTTCAAGAGAAATCAATAAACATAGTACAAAATACTCCATTGGCAAAAAAAAAAGTCAACTTTCCATAAAGCTTTCCCCAAATTGTTTATAACTGCAAAACTGTTGGTGACGACTGGTCATATTTTTCAAGTCATTTTCCCCCTGTGTTCCTTGCAAGGCCCCTGTTTAAACCTATGATGAGGTGTATACCCCCAGTAAAAATCGTCCGAAAATTCCCCCCGGCGACAAATTATGATTGGTTCTTGAGGATTGTATCTCATCATCTGCTGGTGTGGCGGTGCAAATTAAGTGAGCAATGGCCGGGCATTCTTATGTTTTCATCGCCCCTATTTGCTATGACAGGAGCCCATTAGTAATGGGCCCCTGACTTATGATCACTCAGGAGATATAAACGTCATCGAATTGTCGGCCACATAACTAGGGTCAGGTTGATTACATTTAGAGGAACATGTTTTTTTTCGTCTTGTTACGAGCTTGGGGCAAAGAAAAAAAATTGGGTTCATATAAGGAACCGAACCTCGGAGAATCAGAATTTTTTTTCTTTGTCCTACGCTAATGACGAGACGAAAAACGGAATCGACACAGGAGAATGACAAACGCTCCCCCTCCCCTCCCTTTAAGCCAAAATATTAGGCTTATTTTAGGAAATACGGTCAATTTTCTTCTTTCTTCTTCTTCTTTCAAACGTGCATATTCAGGTGCATACCCCCTCGTGCACAAGTACGCTTATGAACGCTTAGAATTCCCTTGAAGCCTCAACTGGGCAAACAAAATATACCAGCTAAAAGAGGTTTATTCGCGATGATTCGTGGTGATTCTTTTATTAACATCTATGCTCAGGTGAAAGTATGCTCAAGTAAAAATGAAAACGTAACAAGTGCCCCTGAGTTTCTGCGTACTTCAGAATGGTTCAAACGAGACGCAGCTCCTAAAGACCCTACAATTGACGATCTCAGAGCTAACATAGCAGCCATGAAAGGAAAGAGCGAACCACTGTACGAGGAGATTAATAAGCTCCAAATCAGTGGCGGGTCCAGACCTTGAACTAAATGGGGGGGGGGCGTTATTTGTCATTTGCCCCGCCGACTTTTCTTCCTTCTGCAATTTTTTTACCCAAAACAAGGGGGGGGCCGGTCCCCCCGACCCCTCCCTCAGAGGACGAGAAGGAAGTTTGCATGGAGAAAATCTTCAGATTCAGAAAGCCCTTCGTGAGGTCGAAGCAGATTTGGCTCTCGCCAACGAAGATAAAGATCGCTTGAACGATGAACTTCAGGAATATTACAAGAAGTCGTCTGAGCTTCAAGCCTCTTACAAGATCTGCGATCAGGAAAGAATGGACAACCATCAGCAAGTACTGATGCTCACCAAGAAAGTCGAACGCTTGGAAGCTGATCTGGCAGAGGCCCTTAAAGCGAACAAATGGCTGGAGGCTGAGCTTGAAAACTACACCGGAAACGATCGTAAGAATGTTGAGGAGGTAGATATTGTGAAGACACAAGTAGTAGAGGTGCAAAGTATCATGCATGACTACCGACGTGAAGAGCCGATGAAGAATCTACCATTGAGCAATTACGTGAGCAAAATCTCTTTCTGACGAGAGACTATAATGATCTAAAAGGCGAGCTTGAGTACAAGAAGTCTCTTGTTAACGAAATTGAAAAAAAGAAGAGAACAATTCAAAACAAGTTTCCGCGCTTGGCGAGGGGCCTGTGCAAGTCCGCTGAAAGGAAAAACACTGAAAATTATTAAGGTTATTTCTCTGTTAATATTACACAGACAAAAACTTTAGCATGCATCGTAAGTCTCGGAATTTGAGAAACGATCAATGTACTGATTGAATAAAACAATGCACTAAAAAACAACAATGACTCCTGTTTTTGTCATAATTGTTATTTTTAGATGCGCGAGCGCTTCGAGATAAACAAAAATGACATTGGATATTTCTCTTGCGCTTAACGTACAGATAGGCGGAGAGGCGACGAAGATCTAGAAAACACAGATGATGTCGACTGCTGTAAAAGCCACCAGCTGTATCACTGGAGAAAATTTCGATTCTGCTCTAAGAACTTAAGTAACTTTTCCGTAAGCAAATTCCTAACGGGGCTTTTAAAAGGGGCAACATTGACACCTTTTAAAACAATTCGCGTTGATTCAACGTGATTCTTTTATTTCCAACTATGCTAAGGCTTTTGACGATTTATGGAAGATCGCGCGATCGTTCAGATTTTATTTACCTTATTAAGTAACTGGAAAGCCAGAAAAAAAATTCAAAATTAACAGAAATAGTCACATGAAATGAGACAGTGGTTACAATTTGCCGCAAAGCTAGGATTGCG